CCGGAGATATTTGCACCAGCGCCGGCTATTCAGCATTCGCATTGTAATAAGCAAGCGGTCGAATTTCCGTTGCATATATCAGCGCATACCAAAAAATGCTTTGATGCCTTCCTTGGTAGCAATCTGCCTTCCCGCATCAATCCAGTTTTTGTAACGGACCTATTCGACGTCATTTAGTCGACCACGAAGTCTGAAGATAGAATATCTGCTTTACCTTCTCCCCAGAGGTCATCATCATGCGGCGCCTGATGGTGTCAAGCGGGTAGGATGCTAACGCAGCAGCCTGAAGTACGAGGCTTAGTGACTGAAGAGATTTCGCATGTGAGTGCTCGTAGCATACCGTGGTACAGGTCCATCCGACGGCGAAGGATGCCAGGAAGTTGCCCTTCAGAGAACCAACAAGGAAAGTATCTCGAATAGTGTCATAACCGCCGAAGCTATCGCGTGATAAGTATATGGATGTACTATCAAACTTCAGGTATTACTTACTATAAACCGCGGTAGACACAAATACCCACAACGCTGGGGACAAATCCTCGATACAGGCCTGCAATACCATCGGACGCAAGAGTTTTCTTGTACACATCCGAGAGACCATTGAACTGACGTTGGCCTCCGCCTGCGGTGCTCTTCGCGTCGGCAGAAAGGCGTGTGCGCGCGCTACATCATAGTATAGCATCGAGCGCAGGCGCAATGATCAGCAAATGATGCAGAACGAATACATATACCTAGAAATACTTACTAATCTAGAGAGTAGACGAAGACAGAAGATGAGGCACCGGCAGCTGCTCCACTGAGAATATTTCCTACGTAAACGGATCAGCAGTGTGAAATGCTCTGCGGGTGTCGGACAATGTACCGAATACCCAGAGGGTGAAGTTGTCAGCTTTTCTAAAGTTGAATATCTCCTTGAACGTATCTTTGAAGGCGAAGTTCAGAGCTTGCGTGGGGAAATAGCGGATCACATTTGTCCCGTTGCCACGCCAAACTGTAAAGACAGCTTCAATACATGCGTGCGTCCCTAGTGCTCTACCACTTACAGCTCAGCATTCCTTCATTCTGGTACGTGTGCTTGAAGCAGTCAATGATACCAGTATAGGGACGATTCAGCCGTCCTGCAGCTAGCATAGATCCCTGGTTCTGCATGAGAATCTTGACACGCTCGATAGGTGCCGCTGCTGTCTTGGAAATTGCAGCGGCAGTACCTCCCATCAGGAAGTCAACTGGGAATATCGATAGTTTGTCAAACTCTATCGAGATCCCCAAGCAACACACCTGTAAACGAGCTCTGTTTCTTGTTAACGGACATTAGGCGAGAGGAGAAGGGGATGGGGGTGGTCAGCGTAGATATGCTAACTATGATAGTGTGCGCTCATCAATATGACGGCTTTTATGCAGGGGGCTGTGAGCGCGCAAATCTCTCGATGTCGGGTACGGCTCCCCGCTCTGGAGACCCTTTGTGAGACCAAGCCAAAAGCAAGTGTCACCTGTAGCCAGGCAAGGAAGGTCCTGCAAGCACTTGTTTAGTGAGGACTAGCAGAGGCATGCCTAGCTCCCTTCCGTACTCACCCGACGTTGCCAATGGCACCTCGGCGCGCCCTGCAGTCGAGTCATTGTCGGCTCCACTAGTGTACTGACTCGCACCCGGTCTCCGTATGCTGTGTGCGAGTCTGCTCTGATTGCTCTTTGTTAGCATGATACCCAGCCTGATGATTTGTAGCCATCACCGGTCGACCCGGTGAACCGTGAAGACTCATGGCAATCTTACAATAGCCTCCGAGTTTCCAGGCTGCGAGTGCTGCCTAGATAGACAGAAAATGTATGGGAACTCCGTCCGTCTGGAGTTTATGATTGTGAGGGATGGCGGGACTCTACTCAATGTCCGCGCCGAAATTGTCGGGAGTGAGCACGCGGGTTATATATGTTCATGCATGAGCTTATGACGTCATGAGCAATCACAACGGCCACAGTATATTCGTGGGCAAAAATTCCGATCCAACAGACCCCTGCGAGGCTCCCTAGAATGGCATGTCAGGATGTATGAACCGCTACTCATTAAGCCCATAGTGAGTGTTACAGCCTGAAGGACCAGCCCCTACTTCCAAGGGTCGAACAGAATTTTCCCACACTTCCCCTTATCGAACAGCTCGTAACTTTTTGGCGCATCCTCCAAGCTAACTACCCGTTCTATCAGACTAATCTTTTCCCCAATGCTGCCAAACACGGCCTGATATTTTGCCAGAATTTTTGAGGCAATTGGAAGCATCGCCCTCACTGGGCATCTGCCAAAGTCGAACGAAATGTTCTTGTTGTATAAATCGCGTCCCATGAACGGCAGCGGTGGTTCTTGGTGCACGCCAACGGAGCTGACAGATCCAAATGGTCGCACGAGCCCATAGGCTAGTTCGAGCGCGCTGTTATTACCTACAACCTGATGCAAAGTGAGTCCACTGCAGACGGTGGGAGGAAATACAATTACTTCAAGGATCGCATTGCATCCTATGCCGCTTGTCCATTCGCTTACGGTCCGTTTAGCTTGCGGAATGTCCGCGACTGCAAAAGACTTTCTGGAAGCCCCAATGGCTTCGGCAATTTTCGTCATTTTGGCCCGTCTAGACTCATTTGGATCAATCGCAACAACTCGATACTGAACATCCTTGGTCTGCTGTATGCCGCTGAGCATATCTAATAAGCTCACTGCGGCACACTGCTCATACAATGTAATGTCAGTGAAAAGCGACAATATACAGTGTGGTACTTACCACTCCAACGGGTCCCAGTCCCACGATTGCCAAGGTCAAGATTCGGTCCTCAGCTGACAGGGGCGCCAATGCTTGCGTATTGCCCTCCGTTCCCGACACAAAGCCGCCAAAGGGATATGGGCTGGCAGTCAACATCGGTGACGTCTTGGCATGTTGTAAGACCTGCAAGGCTGCGAACACGCCGGTCGGGAGAATATCTGCAAGTAGAAGCAAAGAGCTGTCTGCCAGGCAAGAAACCGAGCCATCCTTCGATGCTGCGGTGACGCTTTCGACCTTGAACAAGGTCCCACCTGCCTTCGGGACGCGTACATACTGGGCCTGTCCGCCCGGCAGAGCGGGGATACCAAAGAGGACAGAATGCATGCAGCGGCAGGTGAAGCCCACCCTACAGAAACTAGACCGCACAGCCACTTGAGTAGCCAGCCAACAAAGGAACGTAACCATAGGGCTTACTGGCATTCTCCACATGACACGGTGAACGGAGAGACCACCTTGTCGCCGAGGCGGAGCGTACGATACAGCTCTGGACGTTGTTGAGCATGGGAACCAAAGCTGCCGCCCATTTCGACCACTGTGCCAACAAACTCATGCCCACAGATGAGCCTGATCAATGTCAGAATGTCTGCACTCCTGCATGCAGTAGATATAGACTGACTCCGCATCTACATCCTCGTGTCCACGGTAGATGTGCAGGTCACTTCCACAAAGACCCGCGAGCTGCCACAGCACAGCAATATTCAAATCAGATCCTTGAACAAGAATAATGAAAAGGTGCTTACCTGCACCTTCACGATCACGTCGTCCGGGTGTTGGACCCTGTGCCAAGTTAGCAGATGGTAGGAGATTATGTGCTCGCATGCACCAACTTCGGGATTGGAACGTGCTCGACACGGATATCATAAGAAGGAGGGTACCACTTCACAGCTTTCTGCATCCCTTCCATCTCGCCGTGTTGGGTACACGCTCAAGTTGGCTGCGAGCGCACAGAGCTATAGAGATCTGAGGGTGCTGAGTCGGGAACGAGCGGACCGTCGATCGCGTTTCACGCGTCACGTGTCAGTCCCTGCAATGCTGGCAGGAGGCCCGTTCCGATTTATTTCTGGGTCGCTACCATCGATCGGGCGCAGTAGACATAGTATATATATAGAACTGTGCTTCGTCTTCTCTCCTAGTCTGTAGGCACTGTCCGTAGCAAAACGAGTGAAATCACTTTACATGATGAGGCATTCCTTCTGTTCAACCTTCGCTGTTGTAATACCCATTTCCGCGAACGTCTGCGCCCCACGACGTGACGAGTCGTTCCGTGGTGAGAGAGGCTCTGGCAAGGAGTGCTCCTCAGATTCTGGGGGCGGTGGACCAGCAGTGTCAGTGCGGCGTCCTGGGGGACCAAAGTTGGACTGCTGCTGTGCAAGTCGCGGGCCGGCCGCAGAATTCGATCCGGGGTCTGAGAGTGCGTAGCGCGGTGCATTCGCGAACGGACGAGGCGTCTGCGTCTGCGGTGCTGGACTGCCTGTCAGAGGACTAGTAACAGGTATATCCGCCGGTCGTCGCTGTGGGCTTGTCGCAGGGTGAGGTGACGACGCCCCTTGTGGAGCGACTGCAACGACGGGAGCTAGAGTCGTACTTGTATTACGTGCATGCTCGACGATGCGCTGTCCTTGGCCTGCCGACATTTGTGCAGGCCAAGCACCGGATGCCTCGGAGCGCTGCTTTGCTTGGGTCCGTTTCCTGACGAGGGTCACTTCTGTGAGATTCTGGTGTTCCTCACGGGAAATCGCTTGAGGTGCAGGTTGTGAGAGCGAACGCAAACGTTCTTTCGCGTCTTCATTGCCATGATCGGCGGCCTAAGGGATCATAGTGGGCTTAGACGACAGCTGTAGGGTGAAGATATGCTACTAACCTTCTGGTACCACACCCTCGCTACTTCCATATCCTTCGGTCCACCTACACCGACTTCTGCATAATATCCCATCGCGAATTCAGCGCTTGGCAGCCCCTTCTTCGCTGCCTTCTCAGCAAAAGTCCATGCGAGACCCTCATCCTTTTCAAATGCGCCCTCCGAGCCGCACAAGAACCACTTGCTGAGAGCCATATCCGCCTCAATCTCACCTTGCTGACTTGCGAGCGAGTAGTACTGCACACTAAGAAGCGCATCGAATGGAAACGGCGGCGATGCAAACTCGTATGAGTGTCCGAGCTTGTACTGTGCGGGGGCAAAACTGAGGTATGCCGCCCGCTCGAGATGCTTGCGGGCTTCAAGCTCCGTCGAGGACCCTGGCGGGATGAAGGGAGCGAATAGCTGGGGTGAAATGGTGACGTGTGTGAATTCTTGCAAGAGAAGTAGGCCATATACATATGCTGGCTGGGGAACTTCAGCCGATACTAGGGTGGCGGCCCGGTGAAGGAGCGGGACGGCAGTCTCAGGGGATGAGGGCAGGCCGAGTTGACCCATAAGATGTGCCATTCCCATGCGCTACAATAAGCACAGTCGTTATAAATCACACGTTTCATAAGAGCGCGACTGTTGTACTCACGTAAAGACACCGCTCGTCGCCTGCCTTTACACCCCGCTCAAAGGCGTCCTTCGCGTGCGGGACGTCCCCGAAGTTCTCATAGTCTCTGCCAATTTTGAACCACGCCGCAGGGAAGCCGTTGCGTGCTGCGAACTCAAAGTCACGGAATGCTGTGCGCGGGTCGCGCTTGATGGGCGGGTAGGCTGATGCAAACGCACCAGACGCTTCGCAGCATGCGCGGAGGTACACCGCCTCGGCGATGTGCACCGGCGGAGGTTTGGGCATCGAGTTCGGCGAAGAAATTTGCAGAATGAGCGACGTCATCACGTCGACGAGCGGTCGTAGTTGCGGGTCTTCAATACGGATCGGACCAACGGGTACATCAGTCGAAGCGATGTTCGTGGGGTTTGGGGGTGGGGCTTGAAGTGCCTCTGCGCGGTTAACGAGCGCGAGGACGTCGCGGCACCATGAAACCTTCTGTACAGGGTCGTAGTTAGGCTGTTGGACAGCTTGTAGAGATGTAGCCAGCCCGGACACCGTAGGCACCGGAGCTGTCAGAGACGGCGGGCCTTGGGTGTGTGCCGGCTGTCTGGGGGGTGATCCCGACTGAGGGTTCACTGGATACCGCTGCGCTGGCGGTGGTGGGGGCGCATACTCAGACATAGAGGAAGGATGGCGATGATACTGATGGGGGGATAGCTGTGATGATGGTCCCAGAGCGAGAGCTGCCAGCGACGACTGAATATCTTCTGTGCGTGGAGGTGGTGGGTAGTGTTGAATTTGTGCGCTGTAACCTTGTGGTGGATAAGGCGAATAACCGCCTGGTGGTGGACTTGCAACACCATAGCCGCCATAGCTCGCACCCTGTCCCGGGAGAGGGCTAGCACCGCGGTTTGGACCTCTTTGACCAGGTATCGCAAATCCAGGGGTTGTGTTCAGTGTTGATTGTCCTTCCCAAGGCTGCGCGTATTCGCTAGGGTGCCGCACGCCGTAGGGAGACCTCGTCTGCTCATGCAGCGTCCGTGCCATCTGATCAAAGTAATGGTGTGAATACACGTCAGGCGTAACGTGAGTAGCGCAGTGTGGAGAGCCTACATTTGCAGGTAGATCAGGTTGTATCTTGTGCGGACGAGGTGCAACGAGAGGGTCTTCAAAATGAGGGGCAGATCCGTGCTCGCTTTCGAGGTCCATCCTGAGAGCTGGAGGGATAGGAGGTATAGGCGGCCGTCCTGGCTGATCTCGAGTAGGGCGAGAGTCGTAGTAATCATACGGACGAGGGGGCACAGGCGGCGTGGCCATTGGTGAACTTACAGAGTGGGTCTACAGCTAGGGCGAGTCGATGGGTATGGAATCTTCCTCTGTCAAGAGCAGCAACGACGACCTCAGAAAAATAATGGCCAGTAACGCCTCTGGAAGTAGTAAAAGAGAGGGCTCTGGTTAAATGTAACCGGGTTGTAAGCGAAAGGTAGTGAGGGGATCGTCGACTGAGAGGGTGAGTTATATCCGGTACCATAATCTGAGTCGCGCTGTGCTCCAAGTGTGGTGGCTGTGCGACAAGGCGCATCAAGGTGTCCATATCGTCATCTGCAGAGCTTGGGTATCATCTCACGCTTTCATTGTCACCTCACAGCCTACGCAGAACAGGTGAAACATGTCCAGGAGCACAAATAGTTTCAATGCCCCAAGCGCAACCGAAGCCTTCAGGCCTCTTGGAAAATAATAGGGATCTCTATCCCAAGTCTCGGGGACGCGACAGCAAAGCTTGATACCAGGGCGGTGTACAGACATCGCCTGTCTCCCTGCCTTAGTCAGCGCAGTTCATGGGCGGTGAAGTCTCCCGAGATATTCAACGAATGGCGGCTCGCACTGTATTCGTCCCATCCTGAGAGCGACAACGCGTATTAAGACGAGGTACAGCGATATTTTGAGGTCGGTCTCGAGAATGACTGCAAGACACTTCATCATTAATACCATGTACAAGTAATGCTTTGCTTTATCTGACGTTGGAGAAGAGACACGCAAAATGGTGTACCATCAGTAGCAACAACCACGGTTACTTTACGGCTCGTCAGCCAACGTCACTGGTTTTGTACAAGGGGCAACGCACCAGCAGCAACGATAGCAAAACGTATCACAACAGTTGTCACACCATTCCTCGCAGCAACGATCGCAGCAATAAGGATCGCAACAGCCACCAGCAGGCGCGCCGTTACGGTGGAGGACGCGCGGACGGCGTCCATCTGGGTATGTGAGCACAGGCGTGGGTTGAGGCTGCGCGCTGTAATGGGGGCTTATTGGTGGCGAAACCATCCTCATCTCGGGTGCTGCGTCCAAGTGTGAGCTACTGAACCCGGGTCTAGTGCTCAAACATAGGTGACTTACGTCCGTAATACATGCCATGGAGGTCTGTCGCTGAGCGCCGCACATGATAAACATTGCTTGGCCGAGGGATGGGTGTGTAGTACATTCACCTCTGGCAGGCGGAAGCGAACAGGGCTTGGCGGTGGGTGAAGGAGAACAGGCGTCGTCACCGACGCCTCGTGAGGCGTGACCATATATATGACATCCTAGCGCAAAAAAACCGCTCATCACAGTGTCAGGACACATGCAATGGCGATAGAGAAGATGTTATATGAAAACCGCGAGTTCAATAGTACACGCTTATAGCACAAGAGCTGACGCAGGAAGGAAGGTGAGGACCTCCTCACGGGGAAATGAAGGGGAATCACGTGAGGAGGGCGATAAGAAGCGGAGTAAGGTAAGGCGCGAACGGACTGAGGTGAGCGACAAAGCGGCGGAGACGACGAGTGAAAGGGAAACATCGCTGGACACTCGTCAATGCGTCAACAGAGACAACACGGTATGCAACAAATTGCAGCGCAGCAGCCAGCGCAACTATGATGTTGATATTAGCCGTTGGATCAGAAGGGATGACAAATATCTCACAGTCCACAAGGGCAGCAGCAAGGCAGATTGGCCTTCATCTCTATGTGCGTGTGGGTCTCAGAGCTGAATGTTTGCCCGTGTAGGCCCTGGTCTGGACCGTGCCCCTGAGGGAGTGACATTTGCGGATGTGGTGAGGGTTGTGGAAAGGATACATTATTATCTAGAACATTAGATAGTCAAGGGACGGCCTCAGATTGTTGAGGGGAAGGAGTATCATACCTTCTACCTGACTAGGACTGAAGTATGCTGGAGAAGGTATCGCGACCGGGCGGCCCGAGTACTGGCTGGTCTGAGGGGTTGGCTGAGGAAAAGATGGCTTTCTAGAATCGAACGCAGTAGAGAGTTGCGGTTCAGGAAATTTCTCAGCTGTCATGACTGCAGGTAGGTGCAGAGATGCAAGAGAGTTGTGCGCTCAGACACTGCGAAGTTACCGAGGCGGGATTAGTGCGTTCCGCACAGCTCGCTCTGAGACGATGATCGTGCACCTACTGGCTGAGGCTGTTTACGCCTCCAGCTGGCTCATCCTCGGCACCGAGCTAAGTTCGTCGGCACAGAGCTAGGATGAGAGCGGTCATCTAAGTTAGCCAGGCTATGGGCCGGTGCGTGTCCAGGTTACGTAAGCCAAAATCCGGTACCGTAGGAGCCTGTCTCGGGCTAATGCTCCGAAACGGCATGCCGATGATGGCCGCCGCGGCTCAAGGCACTGAGCGCACCAAATATGGTAACACCTGACGCTCGAGCTTTACTCAGCCAGAGTCTGTTTGTCATCGACTTCACCCAGGGCCTCAAAAGGCGTCGTGAACAAGCGAGACTTCATCTTTCCCCTCGAATCTAGGTCAGTAAGTGTCCCGCCGTCCCTGCTCTGCGCGAATGCCTTATTTCTGGCGCTGTTGGGCCCAGAATTAGGCTTGCAGGCGATGGATGTAGCTATGACCGCCCAGATAACGCTCACACGGCTCTGTTTGATGTAGATCTTCAAGAAATGGGTCGCCGTCCCGCTCGCTGCTACCGATACTGCAAAAATAAGCCGTATCCAAAGTCCCGCTACAACCGTGGTGTGCCGGATTCCAAGGTAAGTATTTAAACTAGACATGCCGCTCATACAAGGCTGTAAGCACGGCTTTATAGATTCGTATCTTCGACTTGGGCCGCAAGCGTGCCTCCGTTGACGAGTTTCCCTATTGCGTTCACCTTGTCTCCGACGAGTACGAACAGCTGTCAAGTGAGGCTCTTGAAGCTGCTCGAATCTGCGCGAACAAATATGTCACGAAGACCTCTGGAAAGGATTCATTCCACTTGAGAGTCCGCGTCCACCCGTTCCATGTGCTTCGCATCAACAAGATGCTGTCATGTGCTGGTGCCGATCGGTAAGCATGAAACTGCCTCTAATGCAAATTTTCCTAACGAAACGGACGATGCGCGAATAGTCTCCAGACTGGTATGCGTGGAGCGTGGGGCAAGCCTTATGGAACTGTTGCACGTGTTAACATTGGCCAGATAATTCTCTCTATCCGCACTAAAGATGCGAATGCTGCGGTCGTCAATGAGGCGCTTCGTCGGGCGCGTTACAAGTTCCCTGGTCGTCAGAAGATAATCGTTTCTCGCAAGTGGGGTTTCACCAACGTCAATCGGGAGGACTATGTGAAGCTGAAGGAGGACAAGCGTGTACTTCAGTGCGTGCTCTTATTACGCAAACTATCTTCTCGTATCCCTGATCACATCACAGGGATGGTGCCTACGTCCAGTACATTCGCCCTCGTGGTCCCCTTGAGGCTAACCTCCGCGCCCAGCTGAGGGCTTGATTATTTTCATTGCTCTGTATTCACACCACCGTATAAATGCGATGTCCTGTATACGAGTGAGGACTTTGTCACGATCGATCGCTGTGCTTGCCTCATATTCACTACATCAACTTGAATAGTGGTTGATGGTTAGGGGAAACGGGGCACATATCATACTCTCATCAATTTCTCATGGATGACATATTCTGCAGCTGTGTTGGATCATGTTTGGGAGATTTGAGGACATCCTATGTATTGATGTTATGGTAGTCTTAATACTATGTAGCACAGAAATATTTGATTTGCACATTGTGACTTTGTGTTGGATAGCGGTTTGTCACGTGGAAACGCATCTTACGCTCACACCTTGACATGCTAGTCTCGCAGAGTCGCATGACGTCCGAAAGAATCTCACTCGATAGGAAACCAGTGGCAATCCTAGAGACAGCGCAGCGACTGCAAGATGCGCTCTCTAAAGCCGAGCTTAACATTGTCGATTCGCAGAAACAGTTCGACTTCCGCACAACTACTACAGATGAAAGTAGCAGGCTCCCGCTCCCGCTCAGCGAGAACAGCGGGCTCATGGATCCCGCCTCCATCTCGCTGGATCTCACAGCCCAGCTTGTAGGCCTTTTTTCGGACTTGCAGCCGCCTTGATGTTAATACACTCTTTCTTCGCCCTCACAGGCGTTCTTTCGGAAACTGAAGTTTCAATATCTGGAACAGAAAGCGAAGGACTCATATATCAAAATCATTGTCAACGACGATGCTCCAAGCATATATGCAGCAGATAATGAGGCACAGCGCGAACTTAATGAGCACAAGAAACGGGAACTTAGGGAGAAGAAGCTCAGACTTGCGGAGATGCAGAGTAATATTAGGACGCTCGCGCCGCTCATTGAACAAGGTGCGTTTAGGAGCGAGTATCTGATTTATATGACTAACAATATGCTGCGGTTCTGTAGACTGCACAAAAGTCAGATCCCTTACAGAAGAGTCCGTAGGACTTTCCCGCAAGATTCTAGATGCCCGCCTGAAACTTACACGTCTCCGACAAGCCTATCCCCAGCCGCGTCTCACTGTCCCTTCTGCAGAAGCTCAGCTCGATGCACAAGTGCTTGAGATGCAGACACTCGAAGATAAGCTACAGAACCTGAACGATGCAGTCGATAGTATGAAGGATAAGGTCAAGTCCGGCGCGCGGGAAGTAGAGTGGCTGAGCGGAGAACGGGGCGAGATAGAGAAACTTGTGAAGTCGAGCAAGAGCGAGGACGAAGATGCACAGGTTGTACGGTCGTATAAATGGTGCGCATGTCTACCGGGCTTGAATCGAGTGTACTAATGGCTTGCAGGTATACGGCTGCACTTAAGTTGCATCGGAAACTGCACTCGCTAGTTTCGTTTGTATCTCCTTCAGAGAACGAACTCCACCTTGAGTACGCTATCCGCTCATCGTCCGCAAGCGGTACATGGTTTCCAGTTGTAATCATTCTCCTCTTTGTACCGAATACCCGGCAGCTGGCGGACGTGCAGGTCTCTGACCTGCCCTTAGGCAGTGACATGAGCGACATTATTGGGGCTCATATACAAGCAAATGATGTGGTGGGAGTTGTGGCTGCTGTTCTAGGGAGGGCGAGGGGCGAGATAGCGGATGAGCAGGCATGAGATTCATGGTCACTTCGGTCTGTTTATGTTTATGTATGCCGTGACTAGCTCGTGGTAGCAGTATATCGTACTCTGTTTCAATCAGGCCTTCTGTCGGATGCGCATATATGTGGCCACTGGTGAGTTTGACGCGTGACTGCACATGTCCGCGCATCAGTGTATCTGAAGTGGGCATAAGAAAGCAAATCCCTTTGGCCGTGAAGTAGAGCTTTTATTAGCATATCTTGGGCCGTTTGCTTAAATATCTACTATCTGTCGTCGAAATTGTCAGGATCGTAGAAACAGCGTCATTATTTGCGTCTATTTGGACCAGATGTTCCGTTCTATGCCACTCTTCCAGCTGCGCGGGCACGCCCACACGACGTACAGTATGTCGACGACGTTATTTGCGAATCTTCTACCTGACGTTGTCGATGTTTTCGACGTGATTAACGAGTCTGAGGCAAGCACGACTCCACAGCTCAAGAAGAAGCTCGTGCAAGCTGTGTGCTACGTGCCCTTCTTCAGCTTTAACATGCACAACTGACCTATCTTCCAGTCCAATTCTCTCAGGGATGACCTGAGCCGGGCGAGAGAAGCTGCATACAACATTGAGGGCGGTTATCTCTCTCTCGAGGAGGAAGAGGTGATTACTGAGATGCTCAAGAGTTTGATTGCTCGCAAGCGGTGTGTGCCATTAACTTGATACACGCATCCCGCTGACGAGTAGCTGTATATCTAGGCTCGTTCTGCGCACCTTTGCTGACGATATCAAAACGAGAAGTCCTGCTACTGAGGTCAAGATGGAAGTAGATCTCGACTCCACCGCCTCAACACCGGCATTCTAGTTGCGACTAACTTCACACTGAATAGACTTCTCGATGATATGGTCACGCCCGGTCAGCCTCAATTGAGCGTGCCCCTTGTGTTTGCCAGGAGACCCTGTTTCGGAGCAAGCCAGCCGCATTGGACGGACAGGATGGGCGCACTCTACCCAGCTTCCTTCGTATACTCATCCCACGCTCACTTCGTAGGCTGGTCTTTGCAACGTACGCTGTTGGCCGGACCATCATGTACAATCTTCCATCCTCCATTCGCCTCCTGCTTTACGTCCTGCTTGCTCAGCGCCGGTCCACTTCCCTTGCTCTTGACGTTACCTGGACCAGGCCGGCTGCCGGGGATGTCTACAGTCCTGGGTCGTATATCATCGGAGAGTGGTGGTCTGATCGGGCAATTTTAATGCCATCTTTTAGGCTGTGTAATGATCAGGCCGAGGCAGACGGCTTCGGTGCATCTGGTGAGGATGACGCTGGCTGTGGGATAGCAATCCAGCCCACCGTGACGCAAAATGAGAGTAACAGCTCGTATCAAGTCACTTTGTAAGTATGCTGCATGATCTTTGGCTTCTTATGTTGTTGACTTTGTGAACGAAGGGCTGCGCCGCAAGTTCTACAAGCTAGCAGCTACGTCCTCGAGATGTCTGTCGACGCCGATTCATCTATCTCTCCGCCATTCTCCTTGAGTCGTGCGTATGTCTCAATAATGTTCAGACACCGCAATCTCAACTCGTCGTGGCTACCGCTAGCTTCAGATACATCCAATCCACATTCCCCGCCATTATCCACAGTCTCGCCAAATGGTGAAGCTCGCAACCCGGCGACCCCACAAGCGATGCCAAATCTCGCGCAAACACATGTGCCAGTTTCTTCAGCTGCGTATGCAGTCCCCTTGTCGATCGCTGGTGCTATTGTAGTGTTCGCGACCATCGCATCCGCGGTACAGCGAAGGAAGCTGCTCGAGGAACGCGCCGAAACGCAGGAAGAGTTCGAGCGCTTCCAGTCCATGTTCCACCGCGGCGGAGGGTTTCTGCAGAAATTTATCATCAGACGCTTCACCCTGCGCAGGCCGCGATCAGGCTTGCATCCGCCGCCTATGCAACGTGCATCCAGCATTCCCGGAAGCGTCGTAGAAGATAAGGATCACGAGTCGGTAAACGACGGGAGCGACCACTACACCCGTGTCTACGTACCACACTTCGATAGGCGTCCCCGTCCTGCCACGAAGGAGCCTTTCTACGTTGCAACAGGTAGAAAGATAGTCACCGCACAGCACTCCAAGACTATGCTGCTCCCGCGTGTCCCATGCCAACCGACACTCATACCTAACATGCCTCGCATCTACATATCTCAGCGCCGAGGGACCTCCGTGGCTGGTCGCAACGCTGCTGCCACTGGGAGCGTGGTTGACCATTATCTTCTTCCCTCGCCGTGCCCTGCGCAACCTCATAAACCCACACCTGTTCCCATGCAACATGCGCATGTGCGTAGACATGCTCCTGGAGCGTCTTCGATCTTGGCTGCCAAGTACGATCGCATGGGCGATCTATATGAGGAGGTGGCGCGGAGGCTCGAATGATCGTCTTACTGCTCTATAAGCTAGGCAGGTCGTGCTCCGCTTCGCCTTTATCTAGTGCAACTATACCTGGCATACAAATTTGATCGAGGTTAAAGGCCATAGCACCTTAAAGCGCCCGATCGCTCCCTGAGGGCCCTAGTCTGTTACCCAAGGTGTGTACAGTAAATTTACTCTGAACAACACCGTTAATGGAGAGAAATTTCAGATCTGCTATTCCTGAGCGGGCCCTAGATCCGATTTAAGATGTACAAAAGCTCTGTAGACAACATCTAGCCCTTGTTCCAGCTCACTAAGCACCAGCTCTCCATGTGACGACCCTATCACCAATACAAGCGGCTCGTACATCTATTTCCTGCCAAATCATCCTGTATTTCACCTTATGTCGGCCTTGTACCCTACCCGCTTAGCCAGCTGGTGGAGTCCTTTGCTAGCTCCGGTCTCGCTCTCTTGATCCCGCGGATGCGATACGAGACACCCTCAGGCATGAACGCGACTAGCTCGGTGAAACGGCGCACGCTGGGCGGGGCCCGTTCCTCGGAGAGCTGGATACCTTCGGGCCCTGGGCCGCATCGATCTACAGGACACATGGCGACAACTAGGTGTCCGAGATTAAAGGGCAAGGAGGTACGGCTCGAGACAGCAATCGTTGTCGAGGTACTAGTGGCGCTTAAGAGAGAGCGAGGTTAGGCTGTTCATCTAGGTTTGAAGGGACATCTGCTCACGAGTAGAATATCGAGTGAGCGGAAACCTCGGAATCAGCGGTGGGGAAAGACACGGCGTGCCAACATCAGTGCGTCAGTGGTCGATTGTGTGTTTGTTTATGGGCACCAACGGTGGCGGATGAGGGAGACTTCTAGCAGTTGAGGTCTCCATTTGAACAGTGCATCGCGGGATAGTTGGGTCCAATTTGTGACAGTACAAGACTCAAGTGAGAATACTGCGGTAATGTTGAATAGATTCACCGATGCGGGCGAGCAATTCGTTAATGTGATTGAGAACCTTGCGTTATATCTATACTATGTATATACACATATAGTCATGCCCTGCGCACATGTCGACATCCCACTTCTCTTAGTGGCGAGCCGTATTGATTTCTGAGCAAAAATGTAGTACTATATCTGAGAACCAGCCTTGGGCAGTCGGGACAACAGAGAGATAGTGAGCCGGGTGAGTGTGATCTCTTGCGGTAGTGATGCACATACGTGCGGTTTCTCATGAAAATGTACCGTCAGAAATACTGTATGAATGTACGACGACTAACAGAGAACGAATCAATTGGAGCCGACTACGCTAGCTCAGGGCAAGCGCTGGATCTTACATAATCGATGGTACTTGCTCGGTCACATGAGTGAGACGCGACTGAACGGTTCAACCAGGGGTCCAGCGAGACGTTGGCAAACGCCCAGCATTCTCCTTTTGCTCTCTTCAATGGCAACTACATACAAGATAAAGATAGCAGCACGTCTACGACCACCGATCCCCGGAGAGCTTGTCGACGACGGTGTCCAGGTTGAACGTCGCGACGACGGCACTTCTTGTGTCTCCGTTCCCAACCCCCGAGACCTCACTCAAATCTTCAAGTTTCCGTACGTCACTTGAAGAACGCGCTGAGGCATGAGCTTTACACTACTACATACAGGATTACTTCGTGTTACGACCCTGCAGCTACTCAAAGGGAGATATTCGAGAATGAAGTGCGTCCTATAATTGACATCGTTTACAACGGAGTGGTGAGTCCTCACATGCCCTGCAGATTTGCCAGTAGCACTGAATGATTTTGAAATAGACGGTAACTGTATTCGCGTACGGTGTCACGTCCTCAGGCAAGACTCATACCATGCAAGGGAGCAAGGCGGAGCCTGGCATCATACCCAGAGCGGTAGAGGTGCGTAGCGTGCCATGTCACGCATCAGCCTGATGCTACATCTTCCGTTCCAGGCGTTGTTTCACAAGCAATCCGGTCTGAGGCGTTATCGTTCTGAACTCTCCGTGTCCTACATGGAGATCTACAAGGATGAAGTCTACGACCTTCTGGTGAACAGAGAGAATGTGCGCGTATCTGGCAAGCTACGTGATCACGGATGTACTAATATAAGACATCTAGGCCCCTAAGCTTCCCGTTCGAGAGAATGATCGGGGGCAGGTTTTCGTCGCCAACCTGACAGCTATCCCTATGGACTCCGTTGCTGACTTTGAGAAGATCTACTCGTACGTCTTGGCCTGGCTACTCGTTCGTATTTATGAATTTTTCTGTTTAGTCAAGCGTCGAAAAATCGTTCGGTGGCATCGACCAACCTCAATCGTGCTTCGTCGCGATCCCATGCGATCCTCACTGTAACGGTTACCTTAACAGACCCAGCGGAAAATAAAAGTATAGTTTCAGCTCTCAACGTTGCGTTTCAAAGGCACTAATATCCACGTAGCTCTATCCGGCAAGCTAAACCTCGTCGACTTGGCTGGCTCTGAGAACAACAAGGTACTGAAAGACCGCGACTTGATGTGGGCGCCTTTTCAAGCGTGACGTTAATGCTAAACCTAGATGACGGGAAACGACCCGTCACGGATGGCTGAGTCTGCAGCCATTAATAAGTCACTGAGCACCCTTGGGCAGGTTGTCCATGCCCTGAACAAAGGACATGTGCGTCCCCGGACACTTCTCATCGTACCAATGTAACTTACCCACCACAGAGCCGCATTCCCTACCGGAACTCCAAACTGACTCGCCTATTACAAGACGCGTTAGGCGGCAGCTCAGTTGGTCTACTTATCTGTAACTTGGCCCCCGGCACCAAGTTTAGACAGGACACGCTTAACACGCTTAAGTTGGTGACATGGCTTCTCGAGGTGACTGGAGCTAACCGACACGATAGCTTCGCTGTTCACACAAAGAATATTGAGAACAAACCTGTAGTAAACGAGAAAGGTCGGTCCCGGGGCCCGAACCCGCTGGAATTCGCTTGACAGGATAGCCAACAGACAACAGACCAGTGCCCAAACCACATTTTGCCGCGCTTCCAGCACCTCCACCCAAGCTTGCGGCCGCAATGTTGCCAATCTCTTCCAGCTCTTCGCACGGTGGGCGACCGTCTCTCGTTTCCGCACCTGCAAGCCGCCCAAGCTCCTCGAGCTCAAATGTATCCTCTCGGGTGCCTCGACCATCTGTCGGTGGTTTCGGCACGGCCAGCCGGCTGAGCCAGCTAATGCATCCGCCCGCACCTTCCGCGCCGAAAACGGTCACTCTCACAGACAAGGAAATTGACGAGCGGGTATGTCGTCGTGCCTCATTGCCTACCAGCATCACAAGACTGGTGTCCATTTTATGTAGATCGCCCGAGCTGTCGAGGCGGAAGTTGCCCGACGTCTCGCGGAGCATGCTAACGAGCGGGCTCGTGAAGAAGCGACCCGCCGAGAGGAAGAGGTTGCGGTACGCCTTGCAGAGGAGCTTGCGAAACGCGAAGCGAAGCGAAAGGGTAAGGCCCCTGAACAACACCAGGAGAGTCTTCCGTTGAATACACTCACCCCTCTTATGCACCGGCATGAGGATGCTAATGGTGATGAGCTGAAGAAGAGACTTGAGGAACTTGAGCAGAAGTTGTGAGTGTATACAACGTGACTGGACATGGACAGGCATTTGCTGAAAAGATCGAACTTTGCTATCGCAGCGAGCACAGTAGTAGAGAGGTCCAGATGGTGGACGTACTGTCACCTGTTTCTAGGAAACGCACTGGGCGAGCGTACGTCTCGCTCGCTCGGTCACATTCCGAGAAGTATGAGCTATCCGTCTCGAGACCGCTGCGTGTACTGACAATCGTCAAAGGGGAAACTTGCAGCTCGCTCTTGAACTCTACCGCAAAGCGGAGACATACGTGCCGGATAACATCAAGCTCAAAGAGAGGTACTTCCCTCCTTGCTACTTTTGCATCCGCTGATAAGGACCTGCCTAGGATCATTGAGGTTGAACGGGCCATTGAAAGCGGCCGACCATTTGAGCCCTCACCAAAGCGATCCAAGAAGGGCAAAGTGCACAAGACCAAGACCAGCAGCCATAGCAGCCAAACATCAATCACAAGCAATGGGTCCGCGCGGCCGAGCCTCAAGGGTGAGAGCACCCACACCAGCTTGCATGATGCGTATGCGACCGTCGATGATCCGTCAACCTCTTCGCGACAGGAAGCAGCAGTGTCCTCGGGCTCGTCTTCAATCCCTCTGGCGCCGCCTTCACCACCGCAACCAGCGGGATCAAACTCCCCAGCACTGCCGCCGTCGCCGGCGAGAGCGACGCGACCGATACCAGCGGCAGCGATATCGATTCAATACAGTCGATACCAGAAGACGACAGCGGGCTCGACAGCGACGAGTGCTTCTGAGGTGGAGGGCAAGGAGAATGTCCGGCTCGACACTTTGCCTGACGCAGAGGCTGAGGGACTCCTACATGTCGGTAGCCCACCGAAACGGCAGATCGACGAGATGCAGGGTGATGTCCTCGAGACGCCCCCAAGGCACAAGAAGGTGGCGAAGGTCGCGCCCGATGACGACGAAGAGGGAGCGGAAAGTGGCGCCTGGGAGCAGTGGCAGCTGTTTGAGCCAGGCAAAAGGCGGTAACTATTCATCTATCTCTTCATTCATCTCTAGCTTTCGTTCGAATTTGGGATCCCGTCTCCGAGTTTACACGTTCCCTTACAACTCTTCTCATGCACTGTTTGTACAGTAGCTAATAATCATCGCTTCGCGGAATACAATGTATAGAGGCGTTAAGCAGATCCTATACCAAACCTACGAGTGGAATGATGACGTCTTTTGTGTTCCAAATAAATTACAGAGACAGAGGATCTCGGGGAGTTTTTTTTTTTTGGCACTGAGTTAAGACTGCCTCCTAGTGCCCATTAACTCCCCTCGCCTTGGCTGCAGCGTGTTCGTTGACCCAGTAAGACCCATGCGGCCATTCGAAGCGTGCAATGCTGTCATTATGCATTTCAATGCTGTGTGCAGGCACATCAGCCAGAATCGCCACCATACACACCAAGTAAAACGCACCTGTAGCCTTCCGCAGGGTTGCTCGGCACGTTATATCGGCCCCTGTTATTGATGCTGCACGGGTACAGGAAGTGCTCGTGGAGGTGATCCACAAACTCGAGCACATTGCGCTCCATCGAGCCCGACACGGCGATGTAGTCGATCAAGCTCAGATGGATAACGTACTCGCACAGGCCGACGCCACCCGCGTGTGGGCACACGGGCACACGAAACTTGGCAGCCATGAGCAACACGCTCAGGACCTCGCTCACGCCCGCGAGGCGGCACGAGTCGATCTGGCAGACATCTATGGCCTCGGCCTGGAGCAGCTGCTTGAAAACCATGCGGTTGTGCGCATGCTCGCCCGTCGCGACGCCGATGCCGTAGGGCTTGAGTGCCTTGCGGATTGCTGCGTGGCCGAGGATGTCGTCGGGGGCAGTGGGCTCCTCGATGAACCTGCGATACAAGCGTCTGTCAGTACAAGAAAGACGACGAAAAGAGAACGCGAGTACCATGGCTTGATCTCCTGCAAGCTCTCGACATACTCGATCGCCTGTGGAACATCCCACACCTGGTTCGCATCAATCATCAGCACACAGCCTGTTGGGCCAGCGTTCTTGCCGATAAGGTCTGGTCCATTTGGGTCGCGGGGGGCGATGTCCGCGGGTAAATGCGCGGAGTCGTCAATGATAGAGCGGATGATCTTGCCACGGCGGAGGTCTGATGAACGATCCGCGCCGACCTTCATCTTGAAGTGGTTGAAGCCGGCTTGGACGGCCTCCTTCGTGAGTCGTGCGACCTTCTCGTCGCTATATCCTAGCCAGCCTGCCGACGTCACGTAGGCCGGGTAACCGACTTCGCGGACGTGCACCTCGCGCTCCGCTTTGGTCGCAGCCTTTTCCTCAAGCATTGCAAGGGCTTCTTCTTTCGTTATAGCATCGGTGATGTAACGGAAGGCGGTCGCATTCACAAGTTCTTCCTGAAGGCACAAGAAAGCGTCAGCGAAAGTTCTATCTACAAGGTGAACAAAAGGCACTAACCGGTGTCATATCTACAATGAGTTTCCAGAGAGGCTTGCTCCGCGATCGCGCATACATATCCCACAAAGCATTGTTCACAGCACCGAGTGCAATGTGGATTACACCCTTTTCGGGGCCAATCCTGAGTCTCCCGATCAGACAAACGACCCCTCTGGTAAATGATTGTGACTACACACCACCGCAACTGTGGGTCAGAGCAGAGATGGTCCCACGTCTTGCCCATATTAGCGAAGAGCTCCTCCGTGTTCTTACCCACGAGCCGCTGGGCAAGTTCCTTGATTGCGGCGCAGACGATATCGTTGCCGCGGCCAATGGTGAAGGTCATGCCATGACCGACAAGGTCACCAGACGTGAAGAGCGAAACATATGCAGACGAGTAGTCACAGTCAGTGTTCATCGCATCTGTCCCGTCTCCCGTCAGAGAGGTGGGGAAACGGACGTCTGTGCAGCATTTGTTAGCACCCGTCTGGTCATCACAGCACTCTAGAACGTACCATGGGTCTCAAAACCGGTAATCTTCAATGACATGCTCAGAAGGGCTGGTGGGGGCGAGTCGCAAGCTAACGTCGGAGTCGTCGACTCTCCATCGCTGCGTACTTATACTATCCTCTGAGCAAAGGTCCGGTGGCCCACTCAAGCGTCCCGTCGCGTCCGTCCTGTGCCTAGACGGCTCCCCGGCCCGCGGGCCGTCCCGGTGTAGCAAAATAATGTCACACTTTAGGCGCCTGAATTGTATCCAGCGCCTGTCACGTAATGTCGCTCGAAAGTAACACGTACAGTGGCCGCCAAAAATAACGCACAACACTACAAAGGGGTGTTATAATCCCTCCGTATCTCCACAACCACTGTACCTAGCCAGATAGTGTATATACAAATTTTATACTAGGCTACTATTAGCATCCTTCTGAGGTATCACTTTGATGCAAGCACCAGGTGCCAGAAAAAATGTGGTGAAAATGGCTGAAAAATGAATATATATTGTGAAATTTATACAATGACACAGACCCCAGAGCAAAATATGGTTAAGTCTTAGTAAAATTCTATGCTGTATGATGTTACTGTAACAAAATTACAGCATGGTAACAAAATTGGATGAATGAGCTACAGTGACAACTATATTCATTACAAAATAAAGAGGTGTATACTTATATTCTATAGACATCACCAGCAGCTGGAATATCTATAGTGGTATACTGAATGTATCTGCTAGTAAAGATTATTCTGTACAGCAAATTTTGTATCTCTATTCCTGAGTGCCATGAAGATATAAATATACAGATTTCCTTGGTAAAACATACCAATGTAACTGTCTCCACAGCTTATTCATCCAATTTTGTTACCATGCTGTAATTTTGTTACAGTAACATCATACAGCATAGAATTTTACTAAGACTTAACCATATTTTGCTCTGGAGTCTGTGTTATTGTATAAATTCCACAATATATATTCATTTTTCAGCCATTTTCACCACATTTTTTCTAGCACCTGGTGCTTGCATCAAAGTGATACCTCAGAAAGATGCTAATAGTAATATAGTATAAGATTTGTATATACACTATCTGGCTAGGTAGAGTGGTTGTGGAGATACAGAGAGATTATAACACCCCTTTGTAGTGTTGTGTGTTATTTTAGGCGGCCACTGTATATGTTTGGCAGGTATAATTTCTTCATTTCTTTTATGCTGTAACATAAATAATAATAACTCAGATATTATAATTGCTTATCATTTATATAAGATTTAGAGCTATATACAGTATTTATCACTTTATCACTTTGCAAAATATGTTGACGGCAATCCTTCATTATTTTATTATGTGAATCTTATGAATAATGTGCTTATCACATAAATAATAATAACAACTTACAGACTATTATATTGTTTATTTACAACATCTGACTATAAAACCTAAAGGCCAGCTTATACCCATTTAACTATTGGCAAGTTGAGCTGGTGTCATATTACAAAACTGAGATTCTAAGTAATATATACTATCATACTTCAATCTATCATTATATCATACTTGCTGGTCAGCACTAACTATCCTTGCTGTAAAGTGCTCATTGCCATTATAAATAAATCTACATAGCCTGTACTTGCACTTGTTCAAGTCCAGCATAAAAGTCCACTTAATAGTAACTTTATCAACTTTAAACTTAAGGAATTGAGGCATATCATCTATGATTACCTTCTTCACTAGCTTGATACCACAGCTACTGCATGTTATATTGGCTACTTGTCTTGTGTTGGCATGTAACCACTCTAGTGGAGTTCTCTCATCAACAGGTCCACTCATGATGCCCTGCCTCTGCCATCTGTATGGGAAACATATAAGGAGCAAGTTAGAATAGGTTGTGTTCTTGCTTCTACCAATTGTCTGACTGGTCCCACATGATGTGCACATGTATTCCTTGTGCCAGAAGTTCTCTAATGGTCCAAGCATATAGCTACACAGCTCATAAATCTCAGTACCCTCATCAATATGTAGTGGAAACTCTACAGGGTCTATCTCATGCAGCTTACAGTGACGACCTAAAGTATTGCAACAGACTACAGAGGGGTGTTAAGATTCCTCAATATCTCCGTGAATATTACAGATGGCTGGACACATTGTATATGGTTTCTAAACTGGACAACTAGCTGTATTTTCTCAAGGTATCGCCTTGTAGCAGAAGGTGTATGCTGGAAGAGTATATCAAAAATAGCTGAAAATATGCATATTTATCATATAATTTGTAGTAGAATACAGACTGTAGAATAAAATTGACTCTGCACATATTAAAATGGAGCTAGTTGTATAGTATGTGTAAAAA